TTCGGGCTGGTGGGGAGGGTTCCTGAGACTGATAGGATAGACTCGATCGCACATCTCGTGCGGAAACGAGCGCGCAGATCGTTGCTTCTTGCCGCTGCGTCGGAGACGTCAGAGCGCGCAGGTAGAGCCCCAGCCAGTAAGAGACTTTCAAAGCAGGAGAGACTGATTCGAGATTCTCCCCATCAGCTTGAGAGAGTAGGAAGCAAATGGAGGTGCTCTCAGTGCGATGTGATTGTGACTGGAGCCAGGTTTTTGCGTTTTTCGGTTTCCCCGTGTGCTGGGCCCCCTGGCAAAAGCAGGTCGGAGGTCCCTGAGTTCCAGCCGATAAACGGAGTGGACCTCGAGATCCACGAATCCCACTCGATCACCAGGGTCGACCGTTGGTTCTTGCAGATCTGTTCGGTCTGCGGGATGTATGCGACTGTGGACTCGAGGTCCTTGCGTCAGAAGTGTAGAGGTCTCACACCGAACGGTGCCGAGAATATCCGACGAATTGAATTAGGCCTTTTTCCTCGGCGTGAGGGGCCCCCCAGAGCCATCAAGATGGCCATTGCTCGCAGAGATGAGAGTCGTGTCGTGTCGGCCCACGAGGCCAGGGGGTCGCAGGAGAACAGCGAGCTTGCGGGGGGCCCCGCCGAGCCTCCCGTGGTGACCCGCGCCCGCAACGACGGGCATGAGCGGGAGCAGCTGCGTTGTGTAGCCAACGAGTTGCGCACGCAGGCGAAGGTTCAGAGATTGTTGGCAGCAGCGAGAGGTACGACTGTGCATGTGCGGGCGCCGCGGGAGGATTCAGGGTCTTCCGATTGACGGCATATGCCCGTAAGCCAGGACGAAGACTGAGGGACAGAGGTCCGAGAGCAAAGAGGTCCAAAGAGGTCCCTATCCTCGTCCTCCTCCTCCCCATCTTCGTCCGCCTCGTCCTCCTCTTTCTCCTCCCTATCCTCGTCCTCCTCCTCCTGATCCATGATTCCTGAGGGCTCCCAGGGGGCCAGTCTGCTTCGGCGGAAGTGTTGACCCTGGATGGAGGGGTCCGTTCTCAGAGACCGCATCTCGGATCACCCGCCCTGGCACTCCTCGGCCAGGGGCGGATCGTAGCAGCAATGGTTAGAATCACAATGCCGAATTCTAGATGGGGTCGGGGTAGGGTCTGAGGAACGCGCCGCATCGCCGATGCATCGGCGATGGAGCGCGATGTGGAGCCCGATGTTTTCCATGCCGGCGCCTCCGATGCACCGCCGACGTAGCCGATGCATCGCCGATGTATCGCCGATGGAACGTCCTCGGAGCGCTCCGAATCGCTCTGAGAAGGCCGCGGCGCCCGAGACGTCCTCCAGAGCCGCCGGATTTCAGAGATTCTCGATCTATCTTCACCCGATTGTATCCTCGTCCTGGCCTCTTCTTGCCCGGGGTGTGCGCCCTGACCCTCTCGGCGCGTTCGGCGCCCAGGCTCGCTCGGTCGCCGTGCGGCCGCCGCCGCACGGCCGAGTGGGCCCTGCGCCTCCCCCTGTTGTGGGGCGCGGGGGCCCCGTCCAGCGGTCGGAGGGTTCGGAGGGTTCGGATGGGCTCAAGAGGTCCGGACGGGTGGGGGGGCTCGGCGGGTTCAGACGCCAGGGCGGGTTCGGATGGTCGGGTGGGTTCATGCGCCATAGCGCTATGCTCGGCGGGTCGGAGGGGTTTGGGTGGGGCCCTGAGGGATGGGGCCCTGCAGGGGTGGGGGAGGGGGCCCTTCAAGCGGAATCCTCACTCTCCGAGGCCATTCGCCCTCCAGGCCTGAGGCAAACCCCTAGGAACCGCTGAGTTACCTGGTTGAGGGGGGAGGGTGAAGACGATGATGATGATAATGATGATGGTATGATGATGATGCTGATGATGATGATGATGATGATGCTGATGCTGATGCGGATGCGGATGCGGATGCGGATGCGGATGATGTTGATGATGATGATGATGATGATGATGATGATGATGATGATGATGATGATGATGATGATGATGATGATGATGATGATGATCGTGATATTGACTTCCCAACGACATGAGAGCCAATGACGAAGGATATGATTGTGCATGTCAAACTTGTAACAAGTAAGGCTCGTCGCAGAGAGCTGTGACTCTCGAATGCTGCTCGGTGCATGGTGCCTGCGAGGGTGCTTACACAGCGAGGCTTGGCGGCATGCGGGGGCAACTTAATCATGAAATTCAGCTGCCACGAGATCTTCGGCCTCGTATTCGTCATAGAATTGCTCAGGGTCGGCAAGCTGCCCTAGCAGCTGCTCTCCTCCCTCCGAGCTGGGTGAGGCAATGCGGGCAGGGGCGGGCAGGGTGGCAGAAATCCACCACTAAGAAATCTGATCGGTGTCTCGTTCACTCGCTGATCGTCTCGATCCAATGGCCCACTTCATCCTCGAGCCAGCCCGCTGGTGCCACCCCTTTGTGGTGAATCGCTACGTCCTCGGCCCGCTCCTGCATCCTTTTCTTGCCCTCGGCCCCCTGCGTGCGAATATAATCGAGCAATCCTTTGTACCCCTCGAGCTCCTCGGTGATCTTGATCACCATGTTGTGATTCGTCGGCATCGTGTATGCGTCTACCGAGACGGAGGAGGCGAGCCTGTTCTTGTGTGCCGTCTGCAGCACGAGTTTAAGTGTCGCCTGGAGCAGCGCCAGTAGGTTATTGTCCTTGCTGCTCCACGTCTTGACCTGGTGCTCGCCTCGGCGGGCTCTCCTTCCGCCTCGGCGCTTCGGCTTCCTGCGTCGGTCGCCGTCCTCCTCGCCCTCGCCCTCCTCGGCCGCTGCCGCTGCTCCTCGAAGCGGTTGAGGGCCCGTGAGCCTGGGCTTGGCCGCTGGTGGTGATCCATCGGCTCTCCCCGAGCTTAGCCCAGATCCTCGCGAGGCCTGGGAGGAGCTCAGAGGGTGGCGCCACGCTGCCCTCGCGGGGGATAGAGCCTTCGCCTTCGCCTCGTCCACCACGTCCTCTGGCATCTTCGTGTTGGGGCGCAGCAGGTAGTGGAGGTAGTGTCGGGGTCGCCGCTGCCAGTCGTGTCCTCGCTGGGGGTGGTGCTGTTGTGCTTGCAGTCGATGTTGCTCTCGAGGCACCAGCACTGAGTGGGTTCGCTCGAGCAGGGGTCTTCACGCGAGCTGGCAGTAGGAGTCGGTCAGCAGCACGTCTCAGCTCGCGTCTGGCCGCCAATGTGTCCTCCACAGCGCGTGGGAGACGCGGTGGGGCGGCACTGTTGAGGGCCCACTCGAATGTTGAGTGGTGGTGCCAAACAGCCTCCCTGCGAGAAATGGCCTTGAGTAATGATGCCGATGGCGGCTGAGGAATGTGGGATGATGCTGGCAGCATCAGTTATGTGAAGGAAGGGTAGGTTCTGATGGATATTATCGTTGGGAGTGGGATGGCAGAGACTTCACCACATGACTCAGGGAAGGCACGTGTGGAAGCGGGGGGCGGTGGTCACGAGCATGCTCTCCTCTTCCCCTCTTCTTCATGTCAAATATTGCAGCTAGGGCACCGCCCCTCTTCTGCCCCCATCCCGGGCGATACTGGTGTTGATGATCACGGTGGTGATGATGTTGGTAATGGTGATGATGATGACGCAGCTGATAAAGATGATGATGTTGATGATGACGAGGATGCTGCTGCCGATGATGATGATGTTGATGATGGTGATTGTGGTGATGATGGTGATGATGGGCGTGATGGTGATGGTGATGATGATACTAATGGTGATGATGATGACTATGCTGATTATGATGGCGCTTATGCAGTGATGCCAACGGAGATGCTGATGATGCTGATGATGATGCTGGCGCTGGTGGTTGGTGATGCTGATGCTGCTGGTGCTGATGCTGATGATGATGCTGCTGATGATGGTGCTGGTGATGGTGATGGTTATAGTGGTGATGATGGTGCGCATGCTGATACTGATGATGCTGATGGTGATGATGATGACGCTGGCGCTGGTATTTATGCTGATGAAGCTAATGCATGATGCTGGTGATGATGAGGATTCTGCTGATGATGATACTGATGCTTGTGAAAGTCACGGTGCTGACGATGCTGATGATGATCATGATGCTGACGATGATGTTGATGATGATAATGCTGATAATGACGATGATGATGATTGTGATGATCATGATGATGGTGTTGGTGGTGATGATGATGATGATGCTGATGGTAATGAGGATTATGCTGCTGATGATAGTGATGCTTGTGAACGTGATGGTGATGCTGATGCTGCTGACGATGCTGCTGATGATGATTATGATAATGACGATGATGATGGTGATGATGCGGATGATGCTCATGATGATGGGAATAATGATGATGGTGATGATGACGATGATGCTGATGACGATGCTGATGACAATGATGACGATGGTGATGATGATGATGCTGATGGTGATGGCGGATGGTGACGCTAGAATATGATTTTAGTATGGTGGGCGTCGCCCGTTCTCTTTCACGTTCCTCAACTGTCATCCCCTGTCCCCCCCATCACTCACCCCGAAACGTCACCCGCCGTCCCCATCCCCTCCTCCGGCTACTCCTCCATCCTCCATCTCGTCCTCCTCCTCTTGAGTACCATGCGTTTTGGTGTCTTTAGCGGTGTTCGATATTTACCAGAAGGTCAAAGCAATGCTGGTGCACGGCACTGTAGCGAACGATTCTTGATTGCAAGGCGCGTCGCCGTTGCCAAGCACGTTGTAGATTGCCAGGCCTGTGGGAGACAGGCTGCGCAGTTACGGTCGATCTTCCTCTTCCATAACATTTCAGCACAGCTTGCGTTCACAACGGCGCCGAATCCTCCTCCAGTACCTGCTCCTCCGCCTCCTCCTTCCTCCCTTTGTCTTCCTCTCCCTTCAGTTGTCCATCGTCCCTCAGGTTTCTATCCTCCCGCGTCCCTCCTCGTCACCCCGCCTCCGTCTTGCCTCCTCCACGCTGCATGTTGCGAGGACGGGCGGTGTCCGTTCGACCCCGAGACCTCTGTGTGGAGGCTTGCGGATCGCGATGTACGGCTGGCGTCCTGGAGATCTACAGGCGTACATGTCGGTCAACAGTTTTCTCAGGCCCAGTTTCTGTTTTTGTCTTAGCTCGCCCGGGAGGGTGGGATTGGCAAGAGCATAGGGAGAAGGATGAGTGATGATCGGCGAGGGAGGAGGAGGAGGGAGGAGGAGGAGGAGGAGGAGGAGGAGGAGGAGGAGCAGCAGCAGGAGGAGCAGAAGGAGCAGGGGGGGAATGAGGAAGAGTGTGGGATCATGGGGACTGGAGGGGGCCAGGAGCTGGCGGCCTAGGGCCAGCCACCAGTTCGCCGCAGGCTATGTGCGGAGTAGTGCGGTCGGAATGCGACGGTGCGAGGTTGAGCCTGGCTGTCAGGGTGCGCGTCAGCGATGGCTGCGTGCTCGTTGATACCCTCGCCCCATTTCAAATGCACCGCTGCGTCGGGTCCACGGCCACGTAGAGCTCCGAGGCGCTTGATTTCATTCATGAAGGGGTTGATGGGCAGTAGGAGGCGTTCGAAGCGACGGAGCAGCGTCGTGTCCAACGGCCACGTAGTATTGTGTCGAGTGCCTCCCCTGGGGTCGACGACGAGATATCTCGCAGCGGTGGAGTCGACCGCCGTGTACAGTCGCCTGCACGTCGCGCCTGTAATCCGGAGGTTGGAAGGACAGATGTAGTTGCCCAAGCGGAGTCCCTTCGTTCTTCCTGCGCTGTGGATCAATGCGAATGGGTTGTTGTAGCGGCGACTAGCGGCCGTGAGCCTTGTCAGACGAGGAGAATTCATGATGAGATCGCGTGGGATATGGCCCGCGGCATCCCGAATTGGCCAAGTAAAGGGCGGGTGTTGGGAAGCAGAACGAATGTTCGAATGCGACCGACAGCCTGTCGCTGCTGCATCAGAACGTGGGTGCTGCGGTAGAAAAGAGGGACGCTGAGTAATGCGGGCATGTTCGGTTCATGTCTCCGACGGAGAACGGCACGTCTTCAAGGTTCAGTCGACCCACTACGCTGCATTCGTGGCAGACGCTGCTATGCGACCTGCAATGCAGCGTGTCTGCGCTGGGACGTCCGCGGGATGCTGGCTTCTGGAGCGCGGCAGATGCGTCAGCATCAACCGCGCACTGCGCCGGAAGCACAGGACACAGGTAAATGAAGCCAGCGCTGGAGGCGCCAGTTGCAGCAGCAGGCAGAACATGTGCGGGACAGCGGCGATTGGTGGAAGTCGTCTGCCATGTTCCCAACCGGCGTCTGGCAAGGCTGAAGATCAGCGGTGCCTTGGCGCCAAAGGCTACGGAGCATCGACTGAAGCTTTGGGTTTCAGAGCTTTGTACGTCGTCGTTCGTACTGGGAGCCTTGCCGTTCAGAGCTCCTGGCGCCTGCGAGAGCTCTTGGGAGCCCTGGGGTTCCGAGCAGCTTGCGCCACTGTATCGCCTGCGCATGCGTTGGCCGCCACCTGGAGCTCTTGGGGGCCTTGACCGCCACCTGGAGCTCATGGGAGCTTTGCCAAGAGAGATGCGTCCGTCACTGGGCCGTCTTGGGGCGGTGGCTTCGGCGTCGAAGCTGCGTCCGTCACTGTGGCGTCGCGGGGCCAAGGGGCTCACAAAACCGTCCGCTCTGAGGTGCTTTGCGGTAAGGACGTGGTACGTCGCAAGACAACTACCGTTCAAGCACCATTCGGAGTCAGTGCGTGTGGACTCCCCAGGCCTTCTTGGGGGGCCTCTTGCGAGCTTTTTGGGCCGTCTTGCAGACCTTCCGTGCCGTCTTGGGGTGTTTTGGCAGCGTTGAAGCCTTCTTGGGCCCGTCGCGGGGTCACCTTGGGCACTCTTGGGGGTGTCATCGGTTCCTGCTGGGGCTTGTTTGGGGCCATTTGGGGCCCTGTCGGGTCGTCTTGGTGCCTTCTTGGGCCGTCTTGGAGCCCTCTTGAGCAGTCTCAGGGCCCTCTTGGCGGCCTTGCTGATTGTTTTGGGGGGATTTGGGGGGCCTCTTGGGTCGTCTTGGGCTGTGGGCAGCCTGAAGAAGTGCGAGTCGTCAAAGCCCTCAAAAAGAACAGAAACAACAACTATGCTTTCAGCCTCGTGCAGCCCTCTTGAAAATCATCCATAAGGTGGCGCGGGCTGCCTTGGGGCCCTCTTGGACCGTTTCGAAACCACCAGAGGTCAGATTGGAACGTTTTTGGGCGGTCTTGGGCTCTTGGCTCGAACTTGAGCGACTCGGAGCCCTTTCGGACCTTTCGGAGGCCTCTCGGGGCCGGTCGTGGCCCGTCCTAATTGTATTTTGGGGCAGTCTTGGAGCTGTCCTGAGGTCGTTTGGAACTCAGGTGACCACAACCATTCGTGGGGGAATCCCATATCATCTGATAAGGAACAAGTGTGTCTTAAACGTATACACACGCATCAATTCTGGATTCTTTTTCGGGATGTGCGAATTTCGGGAGGCAATTTTTGTTTCAGGGGCAAACGCATCCTAATATTATCTGGGGCCCACAGGAAATATAATCCACGGAGCCGTACATTCGCAGAGCACTTGAGGGAGGGACGAAAACGGGATCGTCTTTTCCGACATCGGCGGGTAAACTGTCCGCGTAAGGTCGCGCGGAAGCGCCCTCGTTTTCAGTGTGGCTTGCTGGTCCCTTGGCCCGCGTAGGCCGCGACGTCAGGTTGCTATGTCACCTCGCGTAAGACGCGTTTCCGTTCGAATGTATCACTGCACGGGGGAGGGATTTCCCCGTCGGTCGGCCAGTCGGTCGAGCGTCGTCGTCGTCGGTCGGCAGGCCGACCGGCCGGTCGGTCGGTCGGACGGTCGGGGCGTCGCCCGGCCGGTGATCGACGTCGTCGGTCGGTTGGCCGTCGTCGTCGGTCGGTCGGTGCGTCGTCGTCGTCGTTGTCTCGGGCTCAAGAGGAAAATCGCTCGGCCTGCGTAAGCACACATCGTAGATTCAGGGGCACGTGACACGTAGGACTTGACTGCACCGGAACCCGGGTTTGCCGACGCTTGTTAATGAGTGCGACTTGGAATTTTCACGGTCCAGTGTTTGCTGGGTTTTTGTCAGCGCGATTGCACGTCCAATTTCAGGCTGGGTCACGTCATTTTCATGATGGCCCCGTCAGGCCAAACCGTGTCCCTCGAACCCGAGTCTTATGTCTCCCCGGTAGACAAGCATTGCATAGTAGTGCATAAGCTGTTGCGTTGGGTCTACACAGCATGCTTGTGTTGTCCGCGATGCTGCGCATTTCGTCTTTATTCCCAGTCCACTGCGTGTTCATTGGCATTGTGTTTGCATTGCCGTCGCATTGTTTTTGCACTCTTTCTGTATTGGCCTTGTCTTTGCATTTGCTTTCGTCTTGTTGTCTTTGCTTTTCTGTTCGTTGGTTTGCATTGATGTTGCATTGAAGTTGCCTTACTTTTGCATTGCTGTTACCTTGTTGTGGCATTGTGTCTGCACGTCGTTTACATCGCATTGCATGTGCATACACATTGCTTGCGCATTGTCTGCCCTCCACCTTTGCATCACGCTTGCAATAACTCGCATTGGGTTTGCATTGCCATTGCTTGTTTTTCGCAGTGAGTTTGGATTGCTGTTGCATCGCATTGCTTCTGCATGGTGTTTGCATCCAATTGTGCTTGCGTTGCTGTCCAGTGCAACTCTTCATGTATTGCGCATCATTGCGTTGTATGATTCCTGTTACTGCTTCTGTAGTTCTGGCAATGCCTCTGCATTGCATTGCGTGCGGCCCACATCTGCATTACATTTCTATTGCTTTTTGCGTTGCAAAGCATCGCTGTGTATTGTTCTTGCAGTCCCATGCAATGCGCTGAAATTGAATTTGCATTGTTCCCCAATCAGAGCTTGCCTCTGTAGGGGTCCTAGCGGATTCATAAGGTGAGGTGAGGTTCGCCGCCGATTTCCCGGGTGCCCGGGAGCCCGGGTGCCCGGCTGCGGTTCGCCGCCGATTTCCTGGGTGCCCGGTTCTTTTATGGCCCTATAGCCTTATGGCCTTACAGCCCTATAGTCCTATAGCCCCATAGCCCGAAAGCCCTATAGCCCTATAGCCCAATAGCCCTATAGCCCTATAGCCCTATAGCCTTATAGCCCTGTAGCCCTATAGTCCTATATCCCTATAGCCCCATAGCCTTATATCCCTAAAAAGATGATGATTGGGGCTTTTCTCCGGCATCACTATTACATTGCAATTGCAAATGCACTTTATGCCAGCCCTGGTTTGCATGTTGTTGCACTGCATGTGCATGGCAGCATTGCGTCGCAACGTGTTGCATGAGCATTGGTTTTCAATAGTGATCATTGCGTGGCGTTCCTGAGCATTGATTTCCATTGCATTGAGGTCGGAATGCTTTCCATTGCCTTGTGTTGCGTTACTTTTGCAATAGTTTCCATTTCGTTGCCTTGTCTCCAGTCGTGTATTTAAGTTGGTGTCCGTTGAAGGGAATCCCGAATCGGGGTCGCGCCTCCGCCCGCCCTTCAAACATGAAACGTGGCGCGTGCTTTCGGGTCTGCAATCCGCGCCTCCTGGCCCGCTGGTCAAGCCGTGCGTTGAAGGCTTCGGCACTCGCAGTTGCGCCTGGACAGCGGCCCGCCTCAGTCGGGCCGGCCTGCGAGGGGGGGTACGACATCTGCTGGACGCAGCTGGGTTCAGCTCCGCTGCCCAGCACACTCCTCGATACATGGTCTCACATGCGCCTCGAGGCGCTTCCAAGCTCTGATGCATCGGCGATGTGGCGTGATCCTTCGGCAGCCTCTGCTTCGACCCCATTTGGACGACCTCCAGATCATCCCTGCCTGCCTTGTGGAGACTTGCGTAGAACTTGCGCCGGACCGTTGCCCCAGGACTGGCAGCGTCGGCCTCCTGAGCCCGCTGGTGAGCAGCCGCTGGGAGACCCCGCGGATTGTGCTGGTGCAGGCTTGGTGGGGCCATAATCGTCACACCCAGACTATCAGAAAGAGGAGCTTGTTGGGAGGCTTGAGTGCCATCGAGAGACTCCCGCGCAGCCCAGAAACTGACTGCGCTGCGGGGGGTGGGGGGTCGCGGGCCTGGATGGGAAAACTTAGTGCGCAATAGAAGTGACGATGGGGAAAGTATAGCAGCGGCAGCCGCGCCGTATTTCGATAAATTCCGGTGCAGCCTACAAACTGACGCCGCAGGAGTTTCTAGATATTCGTCGTGGGGGAGGGCGGGGGGGGCGCCTCTCTTGCGGGTGGTGGCCATTTCAAGAAACTTCTGCGCAGCCCAGAAGCTGACCGCGCAGGCATTTCTCGAAATTCGCCGCGGGGGAGGGGGAGGCGCGGGCCTGGAGGAAAGTACGCAGTGCGGAATCGACGAAATTATGAGGAAATGCCAGCAGCGGCATCTGCGAAACTCCTGCGCAACGTATACACTGACGTCGCAGGAGTTGTTCGAAATTCGCTGCGGGGGGGGGGGGGCGGAGGGGGAGATGGACGGACCCCCCTCGCGGGCGGAGGCAATTTCAAGAAACTCTTGCGCAGCCTAGGAACTGACAACGCAGGAGTTTCTGTAAGTTCGCTGCAGGAGAGGGGCGGGGAGGCGCGGGTCTGGGGTGGAATATTCATTGCGCAGTCGGGAAATGCTTGCGGCGGCAGCCGCGCCGAATTTCGAGAAACTCCTGCGCAGCCTACAAACTGACGCCGCAGGCGTTTCTCGAAATTCGCCGCTGGGGGGTGCTGACCCTCCGTGCAGGCGGAGTCCATTTCGAGAAATTCTTGCGCAGCCTAGAAGGTGACGGCGCAGGAGTTTCTTGAAATTCTAGACGCTTCGCGTATCCCCACCAGCCCGTCCAGAAACGACGCCCAGGCGAGTAGAGGGTCGTCCTGAGGGGCTTTTCGGCGTCTTGGGTGCCTCGGGGGGGCCTCTTTGGGCCGTTTGGGATCCTCTTGGGGGCCTCCTGGGGGCCTCTTGGGGCCATCTTGGGGCCATCTTGGGGCCTCTTGGTGCCTCCTGGGCGCTTCTTGGGGCCATCTTGGAGGAAATCGATCAAAGAAGAGGGGAGCTTCAATTAGTGCTGCCCCCTCTGGGGGCCAAAATGGGGCCAAAACCTTAGTAAAATCAATGATTTGTGCTTCCTCGGCGAGGCCGTTTTGGACGCTCTGACCGCTCCCCGCCCCCCCTGTCCAGGTCAGCGGGGAGGGGGTAGGGGGAGGGGTAAACCCCTCCCCGAAGGACCGACGCCCAGAGGGCTGGTGGGATTCGCCGCAGGAGGGGGGGGGCGCGGGCGTGGATGGAAATACGAAGTGCGCAGTAGAGAGGATTATGGGGACATGCTTGCGGCGGAACCCGCGCCGAATTTCGAGAAAGTCCTGCGCAGCCTAGAAACTGACGGCGCAGGCGTTTCTCGAAATTCGCCGCGGGGAGGAGATATAGGGGGGGGGGGGGCGGACCCTCCTTGCGTGCGTCGGCCATTTCGAGAAACGCTTGCGCAGCCTAGAAACTGACCGCGCAGGAGTTTCTCTAAAGTTGCCGCCGGTCCCTGCCCGCCCCCCCCCCGTTCCTGCCCCCTCGTCCTCCTGCCCCCCTTTTCTGACTAAGAGTTTCTCCAAATTGCGCGCTTGCAACATATTTGAGAAGCTCCTTCTTATACGGCGAAGCAATCAAACTTCGCAGTAGCTCGAAATTCAGCCTCGGCGCCAAGCCCTGCACAACCTGAATGTCCGACCACATAGGCGTTTCTCAAAATATGTTACAGGCACGCAAGTGAGCGAAACGCCTCCGCCACCACCCACCCCGAGACGCGTTGGGAAGTCCCCAGCGGTCAGCGCCACCACGGCCGCGTCGTTCGCGCCAGACTAGCTGGCCGCTCTGCGCGCGAGCTTGCGCGCGCCAGCGCGGCTGCAGCGACGCGCAAGCCAGTGCCAAGCAGTCTTCGCAATTGCCGCCACATGGATTTTGCAAAGCAAATGGCGGGCGGACGGGTGGGGGCAGTGCGCGAGCAGTGGAGGTGGCACTTCACTGCGGACAAAATTGGTTGCACCACATTGGTGGCACCTCATAGACCACACAACATCAATATAGATACTGCACCACACATATCGGACAACGTAATGCACAACACATGTCGCACGACGTATATTCCGTAATCTAGATAATACAACATCGATTGCACCACATACATTGCACCATGTAGGCTGGACCGCATATATGACACCACGTAGATTGCACCACATGTTTTGCCCCACAAGTCACACACCATAGACGGTTAGAACCACATCGCTCGGTGTCCACATTGGCTGATGTGTTCATATCTATACTTATTCCGCAAGCAGTATCTGCTTCAAGGCATCTTTTTTATTTTGTAAGGAACTGGGCTTGCGGGTCGGTTTGGTGGCTACGTCGTCGCCGATTCGTCACCGCCCGTCGCCTGGGCCCGCGGGTCGGTCTGGCGGTTGTGGCGTCGCCGCTTCTTCGCCGCCCGTCGTCTGCGCTTGCCGGCCGATATAGCGGCTATGTCGTCGCCGTCGCCGCTGCGGCACCGCTCAGTCGCCGCCGTTTGGGCCTACGGGTCGGGGGGTGGCTGTGTCGTCACCGTCGCCGCCCCGTCCCCGCTTCGTCGCCGCAACAAGGACTGCACCGCATTGATTTCACCACATAGATTGCACAACATAGATTGCACGACATAGATTGCACAACAAAGATTGCATATCATTGATTGCACAACAGAGATTGCACAGCATAGACTTCACAATACAGGTTGCACAATGTAGCTTGCTAGCAACACTGTTTGGGGTTGACGCTTGCTGATATGTAGGTGTATTAATGTGTTGTTCAAGTTCCTGCTCTTTCACTTTTTCGTTATCCCTCTCTCTGCCTCTGTTTTTCGTCTTCCCGATGTTCCATGTATCTCTCTCTGTCTCTCTGACAGGCTACAGCTGTATATATAGTATCATCTTTCGACCCAGTTCCGATGTGTAGACCAAACGCAACGAGAGCTCAATGGAGCCTTTGGCACGAGAGGGGATCGGCGTTCGGATATGTGTGTCAGATAGTAGACAACGAGACGTTGGTGAATATTCATGGCAGTAGAAGACAGCGTGCGCCGTGCAATGAGACAGCCAGAACCCTCCAAGGTGGCCGCGTCTGTTGGCGCCAGCCTGATGCAGGCGCCCACGGAGGGGCAGGTGCATAAGAGGGGGAGGAGGACAGTAGCAATGGAGGGAGAAGGAAGTGTCAGGAGGAGCAGCAATACCAGCAGCTCCATCACTGACACCATTAACAGCACGAGCAGCAGCACAATGTAGTTTGCGCGTGTTACCACGTGTCTAATTATTGCGCAGCCTACTGGGCATGATGACAGTCTTGCGTGGCGTTCGCTTCAACCTTGCAAACATGTGTCCCCAACGAATTCGCACGTATCTATTCCAAACACATGTGTTTTCCGATTACTCCAGACATGGTTGTCCAACGCAGTTGTTCAACGCAGTCGTCACGCACTGGTGTTCGCACGCGTTTGCTCGACACAGTTGCCTCACACATTCACACATGCATTGGTGGCGGTTGTCTCATCGACAACGCTCCCAACGTTATCTATTTGTAGACGCTTCGCGTAACCCCTGTCAGCCCATCCAGAAACGATGCCAAGACGAGTTGCCCTGATCAGGGACGTGGATGACCATGCAATGGAAGAGAGGGCTGGGAAAGACGTTGTATCCTGAGAGGGGGAGGATGGAGGAGGAGTCGCAGGAGCAGGAGGAGGACGGAGAGCGGGATGAGGAGGAGGGATGAGGAATGAGGAGGAATAGGCGGATGAGGATGAGGATGATGATGATGATGATGATGATGATGATGATGACGATGAGGATGACGATGACGATGATGATGATGATGGATGATGATGATGATGATGATGATGATGTGATGGTGATGGTGATGGTGATGGTGATGATGGTGATGGTGATGGTGATGGTGAGGTGATGGTGATGGTGGGAGGAGGAGGAGGAGGAGGAGGAGGAGGAGGAGGAGGAAGAGGAGAGGAGGAGGAGAGGAGGGAGGAGGAGGAGGAGGAGGAGGAGGAGGAGGAGGAGGAGGAGGAGGAGAAGGAGAAGGAGGAGGAGGAGGGCGAGCAGAAAGGCCAGAAGCCTCTTGGATGCTTCTTGGAGTCCTCGTGGGGTGTCCTGGGGCTCTCTTGACAGTCCCGGGGCGTCTTGGATTCCTCTGGGAGCTCCTTGGGGTCTCTGGGGGGTCTCTTGAGAGCCTCTTGGGGGACTTTGGGGGGCCTCGTGGGGCATCCTAGGCACCTCTCGGGGCAGCCTTGGGGCACCCTTAGGAGCCTCGGGGGCCATCTTGGGGCCATCGTGGAGGAGATGGATCAAAAGAGGGGCCGCAAAGCCTTGATTAGTCGAATCAATGTTGTTGGTCTTCTTGCCGAGGCCTCTTCGGGCGCCTTGGGTGCTTCTGGGGGGCCTCTTGGGGCCTCTTGGGGATCCCTTTGGAACCTCTCGGGGGCATCTTGGGGGCCTCTTCGGTGCCTTTTTGGGAAGCCTCCTGGTCACCGCTTGGGGCCCTCTTGGGGCACCCTTGGGAGCCTCGGGGGGCGTCTTGGGGTCATCTTGGAGGAGGTCGATCAACGGAGGAGGGGGGAACCTGAATTTGGTTTCCCCCCCAAGAAGCAACATGTGGCCAACGTACCAAGTAGAATCAATGATTTTGGCTTTCAAGCCAAGGCCATTTTGGACGCTCTACGTATCCCCTGGCGAACCCCCCCTCCAGACCCAGGGGAAGAGGAAGGGGTAGGGAAAGGGGTCGAGACCGCCCCTTCGCCCGCAAGCCGTCTAGCTCACTCCCACCCGCCCGCCCAACACAGAAGTAACACCCAAGCGGGTCTCAGCATATTGCTGAGGAGCGCCACGCATGCCATGTGCGCCACGGGTTCCAGGTGCACCAGGCACCCTGGAGGTCCAAGCGAGCCAGGCGCGCCAGGTGCGGCACTTGCTCCACGTTTAAGAAATAGGCCGGCACCCCCGCCGTCCCTATCAACAACTAATGCAAGGTGGTCGCGGGGCGCCCGCGCATGCTCCAGATGTAGAGGCAAAGTGCAGTCGGTATTATTTTTGACAGGGATGGTTGGCCTGCGCGCAGCGAGCAATATGATGGCACCCCCGCCGCCCGTGTCAAAAAAACACCCTCCCCGCCCGCAAGCCGTATCGCTCACGCCCGTCCGCCCTCCCAACACATAAGTAGCACCCGAGCCGCAGCGTGTTTGGATGGACAGCTAACGGGAACCAAAACAGACCACACATGCGCAAGGCGGGGGCGAGAGGTGCGCCATGCGTGCCAGGCGCGCCACGCGCGCCAGGTGCGCCAGGCACCCCTCTGGCCCAAGCGTGCTGGGACGCCTGGTGCGCCAGATGCGCCACGTGATCCGCGTGCGCCATGTGTGCCGCATGCATCAGCCGCGACAGGTGCGCAAAGTTCGGGCCACGGGCAGAGCGTGCCAGGTGCGCCTGCGCACGTGGCAGTACACATCGGGAAATGTGTCGGCCCCCACCACCCATGTCGGAAACCACTGCGCAATCGCGGCAGGGTGGCCATCATAGCGTCTGGTTGGCTTGCACATAACAGGCAATCTGCCAGCACTCCCGCCGTTTCCGTCAAAAAAACATTTCATTGTGATCGCGGGTTGCCCGCGCATAATCTAGATTTTGCCTCGAAATGCATTTAGCATTGTTTTGTGAAAGGGATGCTGGCCTTGCGCGCAGCAGGCAATATGCGGGCACCCCCGCCGCCCTTGTCAAAAACCATTACAAAGTGCTCGCGCCCCCCCGAGCACGACCCACGAGTTTTCCCCAAAGGGGATTTCACATTGTTTTCTGAAAGGGATGGTGGGGGGGGTCTTATTGGTCCTGGTTGGCTGCCGGTCGCCTGGGGCAGGGGGTGTTTATCAATAGGGAACAATGATAAATCCCTCCCCGAAGTGGAAGAAGGAGGTTGGAAGAGGAAACTCGCTAAACAACCCATGCGCTAAAGGGCTGGTGGGATCACACCCACGTGATCGATGTGTAAGCGTTGGACCACGCACGTGCCTCTTGTAGTGCGTCGTGCTGCCGTTCGGTCCATGTGCTTCCTCAATCTTTTACAGCTATTTGCAGCCGCGTGGCCCAGCCGTTTGGATGCATCATTGTTCTGGCCCTGCTCTTGGTCAAAGAGCAACGGAGAGTATCGTTTGGCATGTGGTTGCAAATTGCGAGGTGCGGATTCCCGCCAGCCTCACGGACCCCGAGGTTACGATTTTGAAAGCCACACCGCCCACCTCATCAATGGGTTGAGCTCCGCCCGTGCGACAGTCTTGTCCCAACCGCCATCATGCCATCCTCTCCCCATGTTCCTGCCCTTCCTCCTCGGCAGCTGTTTAGGCCCAAATACGGTGATCAGGCAGGCATCATCATTTACGGAGCTCGCTCGCAGAATTTCGGCACGGTCTGGCCGGATGACTCGCCGAGCCCGCGGGTGCGTGGTGCTCGTCGCGGCGGCTGCCGTGGCGTGGAGGAGGGGAGGGGGGAAGGGGAGGAGGGACGCCGATGTCGCCCATGCCTCCCCTTCGGCTGTGCCGGACGACCCTGACATCCTCGCGGTAGAAGGCGGGCAGATGCCTACAAATGTGCGCCGAGCCGCCAGCCCCAGGCAGTCTGTGCTGCTCAGCGACAGAGAGGGAGGGAGGGAGGGAGGGAGGGAGGGAGGGAGGGATAGAGGGAGGAAAGGACAAGCAAGCAGACGACGACGAAGGCGCAGGCAGGAGGCCAGGGCTACCGGGATATCGATGTGGTCCCTCTTTGGGGGCCTTTGGGGGCCCTCGTCGCCACAGCTGGCTTCGCGGTGACAGCGATCCTGGGCAGGCCCAGCCAGAGTGCTGGATCTCCCTGGCAAAGCGAGGGGCCTGGCCAGGGTCGTTGCACACGCCCTCCGAGGTCGTTGTCGCCGCCCCTGGCCCCAGGATGAGCCTGGCCAGGGTCGGCGCAAGTGCGTCGTTCGCTTTTTCTTCTCGTGGGGAGGGGGAGGACCTGCGCCAGCTGGGGCTTCCTCGCGCCGCCTGAGTCATCTCGCCGTGGCGCGCTTGCGACGGGGCTGGCCGCGGCGGCGGGTGGCGTGCTGGGAGCTCCCGCCGACGCGGAGGCGTACGAGCTTCCGCCCTTGGGCTACGCCTACGACGCCCTGGAGCCTTCCATCGACAAGGCGTCATGGTGAGACACACATACTGACCCTGGTACCCATCCTTCGTGTTCGCCCCTGTTGGCCTCCTGGGGGGCTCGCGTCGCTATGGCTGGGATTTGCTTCGGAGTCCTGGTCAGGTCGCGCCCTGGGAGAGGTCTGGGGATGTCCCCTCGAAGGCAACCATGGAGTTTCACCACGACAAGCACCACAACACCTACCTGGTGAACATCAACAAGGCGCTCGAGGGCAAGGAGCAGCCGCCCATCCTGGAGCTGCAGAAGGGCGCGATCCAGGCCGGACCCGCGTTCAGGAACAGCGGGGGCGGCTACTACAACCACAACTTCTTCTGGCTCGAGATGGCGCCGACGGGCACCGGCGGCAAGCCGTCGGCCAGCCTGGAGGGGGCCATCAACGAGGCCTTCGGGTCCATGGACGAGTTCAAGGCCAAGTTCGAGGCCGCGGGCGCGCCCGGCGCTCGCTTCGGCTCTGGCTGGGTGTGGCTGGTGGTGACCGCGGACAAGAAGCTGGCCATCACGTCCACGCCGAACCAGGACAACCCCCTGATGGATGGCGTCGAGGGCACCCCGGGGATCCCGGTCCTGGGCTGCGACGTCTGGGAGCACGCCTACTACCTGAAGTACCAGTACCAGCGCCCTGCCTATATGACGGCCCTCGGCGGCGCGCAAAAGCGAGTGGGCAGGGCGATCGGCGGCGGCCTCTGAGGAGGCGTCCCGCCACAACCTTCCTGCCATTCAACGAGCCTTCTCAGAAGCCTCCCAAAAGGAGCAATGCCCTTCCAGGAGGCCCTTCCCCCGCCCGCTTCGTGTTTGCGCGCTGCCAAGGCCTGGTGGGACGTGGTGAACTGGAACGTTGTCAGCGCCTGGTACGAGGACGCCCTCAACGGCAAGGCCCCCACAACCGAGGGAGTCCCCTCCGCAGCAGCGGTAGTGGGCAAGAGGCAGGCCCCAGCGTCCTTCGGCGTCAAGTTCAACTTTGAGGCGAGCATGAAGTTCGGCCAGTGAGGTCCAGGCCTTCCAGATGGGGTCCGAGCAGATATGGTCAGATGGTCGCGCCGCATCGCCGATGCATCCGCGATGCGGCTCGATGTGGAGCCCGACTTCTCCGAGCCGACTGCGCCTATTCATATCTATTCATCGCCGATGTCGCCGGTGCATCGCCAATGCATCGGCGACGCATCGCCGATGCACTGGCGATGCGGCGCGATCCTCCGACCCCATCTGCTTTGGCCCCATCCAGGAGGCGTCTATGAAGGGGGCGACCCACGAAGGAGAGGAAAGGGATCATCGACGAGGTCCCTGCGCTGCGCGCGGCGCGCGCATCGTTTTATCAGCACGTACCGTTCCGTCCATTTTCAATGATGGCGCTGCGGCGAGCGCCGCCGGAGCGTAGTCCGCCCACCGCGTCCCGTTCCTAGCTATGTGTGGGACTCTCCGCTCGTATTTGATCGCGTGAGTGCCGACACGTGCCTCTACGTCCTCCTCCCTCCTGCCCGTCCCACGTCCTCTTCCCTCTTGCTCCCTCTTCCGTGCTCCCTCCCCTCCCCAGGTCCTTCCTCCCCACCCTCCGTCCCTCCGGTCTCCATGATTCTATGTTTGATCAAGTCCTCTTGCGCCCAGGCCAAGCCCCTCCCCCCCCCCCTGGGGTAACGGTAGCGATGCGTGGGGGGGGAGGGCCCGAGGTCCCCCCTTATCCCACATGCTGGTGCTCGCGCGCCGACACCCTAGGCGATGCTTAAGAAAACCTAAGTCTTCGTCCAGAGTCACGATTGTTCTTAACTTTGCAGTGTGAACCCTAAGATTTCAGTCGAAATTCTGGGTTTTTTATTCGAGTTCTGAGACTATGAATTTCTCAACACATGATTTCTTAAGCATTTCGCAGGGTGTACTGCGTCCGTCGCAGCGCAGCCCCGTCCCGACGTGCCGTGCCCCACCCTGCCCCGAGGTCACCGTGACCGGGGGGCCCCCACCCCCCACTTCCCCGTCGGGTAACGACGGTGAGCTGTTCCCTACCCAGAGTAACGGAAACAACAAAGAACAAGTTCCATCTCCTGGTGCGCTCTACCCCATGCCTTCTCCTCTCCTCATTCACTCCATCCCTCGGCTTCTCCTCCTCCCCTCCCCCCTCCTCGATCTCCTCCTGCTGCTGCTGCTCCTCCTGTTCCTTTATCGCCTGCCGCCTCCTCCACCACATCCTTCCCTTCGCCATCCTTCCCCCTTCCCAGAGAGGGAGGCGGAGGGGTGGTGGCAGCAGAGCCGCGAGGAGTCGATGCTGGGGTGCCCGGTAGCCCTATAGCCCTGTAGCTCTATAGCCGTATAGCTTTATAGCCCTCTAGCCCTCTAGCCCTATAGCCCTAAAGCCCTATAGCCCTATAGCCCTATAGCCCTAATAGCCTTATAGCCCTATAGTCCTATAACCCTATAGCCCTACAGCCTTATAGCCTTATAGCCTTATAGCCTTATAGCCCTATAGCCCTATAGCCCTTCTGCCCTATAGCCTACAGCCCTATAGCCCCAGAGCCTTATAGCCCTATAGCCCTACAGCCCCATAACCATATAGCCCTAGTTTTCCGACGGTAGGACCCCACATGAGAATCCTCTCGGTTAATATGGAAACAACCCTCATCGTCGTCCTCGTGATGTTGAGGCGTCAGTACTGTCTCCTCTGCGTCATTCTCCTCCTCGCCCTGGCGCAGGCAGTCCTCCCGCTCCATACGTTGTCCTCTCCTCGCCTTGTTTGTTACTGCCATGGGCCCGCGTGCCCGAGTAGCAAATTTGCCGACGACCAGCTCGGACGAGGCTACCTCCAATTCACTCCGCCTCATACTCTCCCCATTTTCAGGCCTCAGGGGCCCGAAAGTGACGACGGTTACATGTTTCCGATGACCCGCCTCGGATTCGAACGTGAACTGCAGGCTCCATAGGGAGGGGGCTCCGCGCTAAGACTTCTTCGCAATTCACTCTCAGACGAGGTTCCCACCTGATACTTCCCCCATATTCAAGCTTCTGGAGCCCCGAAATGACGACAGTTACAGGTTTCCGATGACCCGCCTCGGATTCAAACATGAAGTGCGGGCCTCCTAGGGAGGGGGCTCCCGCTTGAGACTTCCTCGCATTTCACACACAGACGACGCTCCCGCCTGATACCTCCCTCAGATTCATGCCTCAGGGGAGCAATAGTGACGACAGCTGCAGGAGGCCCATGACCCTTTCGGATTACTCACATGAGCTGCGGGCCCCATAGGGAGGGGTCTCCCGCCTGAGACCTCTTCGCAATTCACTCGCGGACGAGACTCCCGCCTGATACTTCCCCCATAGTCATGCCTCAGGGGCCCAAACGTGACGACTGTTGCAGGAGGCCGATGACCTGTTTAAATTACTCTCATGAGTTGCGGGCCCCATAGGGCGGGGCCTCCCGCCTGAGACTTCCCCGCAATTCACTCAGGCGAAGCTCCCGCCTGATACTTCCCCCATATTCGAGCTTCTGGAGCCCCAAAGTGGCGATTGTTGCAAGAGGCCGATGGCCCGCTCGGGTTACTCATATGAGGTGCGGGCCCCATGGGGAGGGGGCTCCCGCCTGAGACCTCATCGCAATTCACTCGCAGACGAGGCTCCCGCCTGATATTTCAGCTGCGGGCCCCATAGGGAAAGACGGCTCCCGCCTGAGACGTCCTCGCAATTCGTTCACAGATGAGGCTCCCGCCTGATACGTCCTCGAAAGGGATGCGTGCGCGTGTGGGCGATGATGGTGATGCGAGTGATGATGACGCCATGAGTGATGCTGATGCTTGTGATGCGACTGGTGATGATGATGCCGATGTGAGTGATGATGATGATGATGGTGATGCTGCTGATGCTGAGGATGAGGGTGGTAGTGATGATGGTGTGCGTGGTCGGGTGGATGATGCTAACAATCAAGTAGTAAATGATGATGAGGTGGTTGATGGTGTCATGATGGTGATGGTGTGTGATTCATTGGGTGAATGATTCATTGGTATCGACTCATTGGGCGCGTGAATGAAAACGATGATGGTGCTGACGATGATGTGTGTGAGGGAGTGGGTGGTAGGTGGTGAGTGGGTGTGTGGGCAACTCCGTGTTGATGCTGGGTGAATGTGAGTGTGTGGGCGAGTGAGTGAGTGTGTAAGTGATGATGAGGTGGTGGTGGTGATGTTGATGATGATGTGAGTGTGTGCGTGTGTGAGTGAGTGAGTGAGTGCGTGAGTGTGTATGCGGTGAGTGAGTGGGTGAGAAGAGACGGCTGTTCCTATTCCTGTGTTCTTGCGCGGGGTGTCCAGAGACAACGAGCCCCACTTTGGATGTGGGGAAACAGGGTCTGCTTTGTTTTTTCCCTGGTGTCGGTTTCCAACGATTTACGTAGGAATCGCGCTATCGTTTGATATTTCCTCGCGGGCCGTGCAGGACCCAAGCTTCAGCAGCCCGCCTGCTCGACCCGACTGCCTGGGCCCTCCTTCTCGACCCGCCATTTAGGATCTACCCGCCCAATTTGCCCGTTTGATTATGCCACGTGCTTTCTCTTCCTAGCCCCCCTCCTGCCAGTCTTTCTCGTGTTCCTTCCTTCCTTCTCGCTCCACCTGTCCCTTTCTTCCATCAGTCCTCTCTTCCCTTGTTTTAGAGGCTGCGCCAGAGACGTGTGGCAGGTAAGATGTACCCCCATGGGGGCACGATCGAAAACGAAGAGGATGGGTATCGAAGGTTCGGGATAGCACGCTAGCAGATGAGAACGATCAGTCGTAAACTGGTTAATGTTGTTTGCTTGTTAGTTTATTTGTGTGTTAGTTTGGTAGTTTGTTTCAATGTTGTTGCTTTTTGCTGTCGTCGTTCGTGCCAGCAATCCATTCCGCGATCCCACTGTGCGACACACCCGCGACCCACCACGCGACCCACCCGCGAACCACCCTGCTCCCGCCTCTCATTCTTATCCGCAACTGCGGGGTGCTATTTGTACATATTATACGATATCGGAGAACAGCCCCAATCAAAGTCTTTTAGGGCTATGGGGCTATGGGTCTGTTGGGCTATAGTGCAATGAGGCTATTCGGCTATAGGGCTATGAAACTATAGGGTTACAGGGCCATAGGGCTATGAGTATATAGGCCTCTAGGACTCCATAGGAAATTGGGCTATAGCGGCTATAGGGCTATAGGCATTTAGAGCTATAGGGCTATAAGGCTATGAGGCTATAGGGCTGTAGGGCTATAGGGCTTTAGGGCTATTGGGCTATACGGCTATACGGCTATAGGGCTATAGGGCTATTGTCTGGGGCTATTGGGCTATGGGGCTACAGAGTTATAGGACTATAGGGCTATAGGACTATAGGGCTATAGGGCTATAGAGCTATAGGACTCTAGGGCGATGGAGCTATAGGGCTATAAAGCTATAAGGCTACAGGGCTATTGTGCTATGGGGCTATAGGACTATAAGGCTACATGGCTATAGCGCTATAAGGCTATAGGGCTATAACGCACCCTGGCACCCAGGCACCTGGACGCCTGGGCACCCGGGCACCCTGGCACCTGGACACCGGGGTGCCTGGGCACCCGGCCGGGCCGCGGAAATCGGTGACACACCTCACCTAACCATATGAATCCGCCAGGGCCCCTACAGAGGCACGCTCTGATAGGGGAATCTAGAGTTCAAGTTGATACATATATACATAGAGAGAGAGAGAGAGAGAGAGTTGTCTGTTTGCATATACATAGACATGTAAATCTGCTATACGTGTACATTGTCCCTCGCAGGGGGGGACTCAATAGTAGAAGCCAGGGGGCAATCAGCGGAAACCGAGCAAGCCTGCAAGTATTCAAGCAAGAGCTTGCAATTAATCATTGGGGGCCAAGCAAAATGGAATCACGCAGGGGAAAGCAGGATGTGGCTTATACTGATAGTCTTAACAATCAGTTGCTGTAATCGGCCTGTGAAGGCGTGTATGGTGGTAGATAGGGCACCCGGCTGCTGCTGCTGCTGCAGATGCTAATTTCTGGAATGCGAAAGCAGATTTGGATGCACACAGTTGTTGACCTAGTATGCCACCAAGTTGGCACTTTGTTGTCAACCAGCCGAGCCCTCGTGAAACCTTTTCGGCCAGGGTTCTTCCTCCCATCCTGGCCGCCCCACTCTTGCGCGTGTTACTTGGGGGGAGTCTGGGACCTTCGCCACCACTGGCGACTGCCAAGTTGACCTCGGCTCCTCCTGCGTGTGCCTGCTCAGTCCCCTTCACAGCCGCACCGAGGTATATAAGATCGAGGTCGGCTCGGGGAGGCTACCCTGGTGTGCTTCGCTCTTGTTGGATGTCCTTGTGCACCCTGGGGAGGGCTCCCTTGGATGCTCTCTCTGTGCTTTGGCCGACGGAGGGTCTCACGTTCCCGAGGGAGGACGTCCTTGTGGCCCAGGAGGGAAAGAAACACACAGACACAATTAATCGTCGACTCCCAGGAAAATATGCAAAAATATGGGAAGTGGTGGGGAAGACAAAAACCCAGAAAATATAGGAAAATATGGGGGATATTTTTATTTGTGTGTATTTATTTGTGTGTTCCAGTTCCCCTTCAGTGGCCCGAGTCCGGCTGCAGTCGTCTCCACCGGAAGGCTCACGCGGCTCCCCGGGGCCCCGCGGCCGCAGACTTCAGCCCTGCCCAGGCCCTCCTCCTCCCACTTGCAAGGGCTCCCCCGAGGGCGCGAAGTTATTCGCGCTTCGCGCTTCGCGGGCCTCGTTCCTCCCCCCCCTCCTCCTCGTCCTCCTTTTGTCCCTTTGGGGGGGGCGGCGCGAGAGCGCGAAGTTATTCGCGCTTCGCGCTTCGCGCAGCGCGAAGCGCGAAGTTGGGAGCCCTAGCACTTGGCATCGCTCGGACCTGCGCATCCCTTCCTCGACGGGGGCCATTGAGGAGCATCTTGCACCATTTTTTCGAAAAGCATGCGCACGAAATCGAAACATACACGGGAAATGGACGTCCGAGCGGTGGCAAGCCCAGCTTTCGACTCTTGCTCATAGCGTGAACCCTTGTCGTTTCAACGTTCGAGATTTGCCGTGGATGGGAGGGGCTTTGGAGCACTGTGCACCCGCGGCTGTCCCCTTCCCAGCCCCTCATCATCGTGTATAGAAGAGCCCCTAACCCTAATAACATAGTGAAGACGTGGCCTCATTTAGGTCCCCGTCTTTTTGTATGCGGGACACTCTGGGTGGTCTCTGGTTTGATACATCTGCAGAAAAGACCTCATATCCCTGATGGGTTTGGGCCCTCCGAACCTAGGGCCCTTCCCAAGGGTTCACAGGGTTAGGTTTTTCTGTTGGGTAGTCACCTCGCACGCTGCTTCAGCCGGCGGCATAGCGGGCCGCGGGCAGCGGGCAGCACTTGCCATGGCCAGCCAGCAGCGGCGGCCGGATTTCAGAGCCCCCTGCCCTTGGCGCCCACACCGCACGACCCGAGGGCACAAACCCTCGGAGGGCGCACGGAAAGAGTCGGCCCGACCTTAACCCGCGCACGGTCGCTGCAGACCAAGCCCGAGAGACGCCTTCAGACGCCGGGCCTCCGGTCGCAGGAGCAGGAAAAGGAGGAGGAGGAGGAGGAGGAGGAGGAGGAGGAGGGGCAAGAAGAAAAAGCATCCGCTGCCTCTGCCGCTGCCTCCCGCCTGGCCGGCGCGCCGGAGGTGCTGGCCCCGCTGTCCCCCCAGCTGCTGCTCTGGCCCGGGTACCTGCGCGACCTGCTCGCGTTCGCGACGCCCGCGAGCGCGGCCGCGCCCCCGCGGTGGGGGAGAGGCCGGTGCCGTAAGTCGGCGCCCGTGCCAAGCCCAAGCCTGCCCAGAGAGCCGCCAAGGCGAGCACATGGTCCTGCAGCCACGTCTTTCGCCGAAACCGCTAGCTTCGGAGTCTACCGTGTATCTGGTTCGACCTCACGCGAAACAGCCACTTGTTGAAGGGAGAGAAGAGGTTAGATCTCGCGGTCAGCGGAAGCCGACGGAAGGCGGGGAAAAAACGGGGCGAGTAAAACGTTGGCGGCTGGTGTTGTTTTTCTTCCTCCCTCTTCAGCGTGTCCTTTTGAGGGAGGTCCTCCTGCACTTGCTTCTCCTCCCCCCTCATCTTCAAACGTCTTGTCCTCCTCTCTCCTCCCTGGCCATCAATCCGTCCTCCCCCTGCCTGTCCCTCGTTCATTCCTCTCCCCCTTATGTGCTCCCTCCTTCAGCCAACATGCATCGTCCTACATTTTCCTTGCATCCTCCCCTACTTCCTGCCTCCTTCATCCTCCCTCCGTCCTCTTCCTACACCTTCTCTCTTCCATCCTCTTCACCCCGCTACCTCTTCATGTTGTGCATCCTTTTCTTTATCCTCCTCCTGCCTCTTCCTCTTCCCCCTTTTACTCATCCTTCCTCCTACTCTTCCTGCTCCTCCTCCTCCTCCTCTTTCTCCTTCTCCTCCGCCTCCTCCTCTCTTACACCTTGAGTTGCTCAGGCGATTGATGCACTTTTGGAACCGAGAGAGTGGTAGCTTGAATAGCCCTTGCGGAAACATAGCTCTTCCCATGGGCTAACAGCCCTTCCACCTGAATAGAGCCCTGCCGCTCCATGTCCCGAAAAAAAAAGGTGAAGGCGGAGCAGTGATCGCACCAGGCATGCCTTTCGCAGCAAGGCATGACAAGTTGTCAAGGTGACCACTCAGGAACCGCGGCGGGTGCCACGATCCTTTGGATTCTACGTTTGATCGTATGCGTGGACCAACCTCTGTCATGCAACGCCGCATCTGCCCATAACACCTTTGTCAGCTGTCGTCCTGGTTGTGTATCAGGTTTCAGAAACGGCGTCCACCCGTCGGACACCCACACACTTGACCAGTCCAGGAATAGTTTTTTCTCGGCGATGAATTCTTTGAGGGTTCCCACCGCTGTCCTGCCGTGTATCTCAAGGCGGATATGGTACGGATTCTTGTCTGGTCGGAAGTGAAGCTGAACCTGCGAATGACCTTCGACAGTTGTCGAGGCTGGGAAACGCATCCATCCGCTTGGACCCTTTCCCTTGAGCGCTCCGAGTGCCTGTTGCATTTTGCGCGCTGCAATACCTACAGGGCGTTTAATCCGAACAACGAATGATATACCTTCAAGCTCGCCACGCACTTACCACGTTTCTAGAATACCTGTATATGTCCGAATTCTTAGGGGGATCGAAAGCCTGCTTTGCCAGCGCAAAGCGTGTCCGTAGTACCTCCACCTGCTGTTGCATACCACTCATGGCTTGCCGTTGTTGTCCAAGTGACTGATCGTGTTCTTTAGTGCGGGCGTCCGCTACACCGGTCGGCATTTGGATACGCTTCTCCAGGGAGTCCGAGTCGCTGCGAAGAGCCGCTTGTGCTGCAGAGGAGCCTGCCTTTGGAGTGTCGCCCAGGTCGAGCTGCAAAGCTGCCACTGGTGGCTGAACAGAGCCGATCGGCGGCTTGACCATTTCACCAGCGGGCTTGTGAATGGCTGCTTCCAGTTTCTGCTTGGTGGACCTGAGTTAACCCACGAGCATATCATCGACAACGTTGCGAATGTGCACTCCTTGGTAATCTCCATCCGCGCCATCAAGCATGCAGCCGTTCTCTGCAGCTGCCGAAGCGCCACGACTGGCAGGCCGACCAGGTACGCCACCACGAGGAGTTCTATGAGGAGGTTGAGCACCATCAGCTGGCTTCAAGGGACACGCGGGGGCTGCCAGGATGCCCGTGCGGTTCTGGCAAGGACGGCCAGGATGAATAGCATTTGCACTGCCGCTGACCAGCGGTGTCCGCTTGCTGCTGGGGACAGCCATGGGTCCTGAGCCAAAGTGTCAACGGTCGCGCGGTGCTCGCCCCTTTGCGGCAGCGAGCACCGCGCCAGAGGCGGCGTCGCTACGATCACTCCGGTTGCCCGCGGATACCAGGTTGATGTCGCCTCTGGCGCTTTGGCGTCTGGAGTGGTTTTCGCGTTATTATTCCGCATGCTTCCGCGGAGGCCAGGCGCTTCAGCGCGCGCAGCCGTGAGCCCTCCCCGCGACGGGTCCAGACCGTCACTGCCGCGATCAAGGCTGATATATTGCGGGCCAGCGGTGGCCTGCAGCTCCGCGCGGCGGCCGTGGTGGTCGACTTCAACGTCGCTGCCAGCGTCGCGAGAGACCTGCCCCGCCCCGTTGCCGCGGTTGCGGTGGCCGCCTGTCAGCCCAAGCGACGCCGCGCGCGCCTGAAGGGGGACCGCGCGGCAGTGCATGACTGAGATGGTTCGCGAGAAGCCCGCTTGCCGCGCCGCGGAGACGGCCGAGCTCGCCTCGATGGATCGCGCCTGGACATCGGCCCCGTCGCGGTTCTCTCGTCAAGTCGCTGTCGCGCGCGACGCGGCCTCACCCCCTGCAGATCTCGCGGTCGCTGGCATCTCGGATCGCGCCAGGGCGTGAGTCGTTCTCGAGCCGCGACCCCGCGCAGCGACAGGGGCGCTCCTTGTTCCGCACAAGGCGTCCGAGCTGGCTGCGCAGTCAAGGCGGGCCAGCACGACGAGGCCCGCGCGCGCTCACAGCATTGGGCCCTTGTTTCGGCAGCTGCTTCTTGCAGCGCTCGCCTGCGCAGCCAGTGCCTGAACGACCTTCCCCACCCTTGCGATTGGACCTCGCTCGCCCCGCCGGCTTTTGACATGCCGGGCGCTCTCGCGCGCGGGCGGCCCCCGTCGAAGCCCGCGAGCGGCGTTGGTAGGTCGTCGCGCGGGGCTTGGATGACATCGCCGCATGGGCGCGACGCGCCCTGGGCCGCGCGCGCATGGGCGATGTTAGGACAGCACTTTCTTTGCGACGTTGGCGGGCTGCGGCGGGCGCCCCTGCCCGAAGGCGTCCAAACCGACGACTCCGGTCTCAATGGCACAGCGCGCCGCGCGAACGAGATCAGGGCATTTGGTTTGCGAGTCTTTGACGTCAACATCACCTCGGCTCTCTTCCGCTCGGCCATTCCCCTCGCGGTGGCATCGGTGGCCCCCGCGCCCCAGGGCGGCTGCGTCGCGCGCGGGGTGCCCGCCGAGAATTCCCTGGAGCTCGACGCGGAGGCGCGACGGGCAAACCTCCAGCCCGACCCCATGTCAATGCATTCGCGCTGGTCTGTCTCGACTCCGGACCAGCATTTCTTTTGCAAAAGCTCTAACAGTGCACGATGACGATCCTCGAAAAGCTCAACCTGCCTGAGGCATTCTGCAAGGTGGTGAACGCGTCGTGCGATTTCGCCACGGTGGCAGTCGCGATTGTTCATCATGATCCTGCCCCGTTGCCCCGCCTCTCATGCGGCGTCGTTCAAAACTGCGGCCCCAGTAGATCGATCTCCGCCCATGTCCCGGCCCCCGCCGCGCATCAGTTGGCTGGTGCCTGCGGCGAAGCGGGAGGTCGATGCCGACGTGCCCTCGGCGATGGCACCGGCGGCGCGCTCCTTGATGGGCACGGGCAATGCCAGCCCCACCCCGTCAGGATGAAGACGGTAGCTCATTCTGCGCCCCATCCCACGCCGGCAACGCGCTGTCTCGCCCCCCTCGCCGAGCAGCTCGCGGAGGCCGCCATCGCAGACGCGAGGCGTTACTCACTGGTGTTTGACCTAACTGGGGGACTCCTGAAATCTCTGACAAGATTCTCTACCTTGGGCGCTGGATCGGCCGCGGTGCGACGCCTGCCGCATCGTGGAAGGCGCCGTGGCACGTGCATTCGAGAAGGGTCGCGTCGCTGGCATGCGCGGCCGCGTCGATGCATGCGAGCGCCCCTCTTCAACGCTTGGGCTTTGTCCACGATGTCAGACGTTGAATTGTTCATCGCTGTTCCGGATAAAGCTGGAAAGGGGGGCCTGGGGGCCAGTCGAGATCTCTCGCTTCCCCGGCGGCGCATTGCGGCGCACCGACTTCGCGCGCCTCGGGGGCCGGGGCGGCCCCGAGCTACAATCTGCTTGCGGAAGTCTACGAGTCACCTTGATTTTCTTTCTGCTCTTCGGGCGCTCGCGCTTTCGGGCGATTCTGGCTCGCCTCTTCGGGGTAGCTGCGGATAGGATCGACGGGCGGCCTCTGGGTGAACTTGGCGGCGTTATTCCGCCGTCGCGTTGGATGACTCAAGGCACCGCGGGAACGCTCGACGCGGCGGCCGAGGGCGGGGTCCCCGATCCAGGCTCCATTGCGCCGCTGCCGGCGTCGAAGCGGCCCGCGCTTTCGTGGCAAATTGCATTGGGAAGTGCTCCCTTCAGATTGGCGCTGATCTCGCGCCCTCGCCGCCTCGCGGTCAATCGCGGATGTGGGATCGAAGGCGTCTTGGGACTTCCCGCCCCCTCTATCGATGGAACATAGATGATGGGTTCGTCAAAATGGCACAGCGAGCGGATGGAACGCGCGCAGCACCGCGGTGGCGGCTACAGAGGACGATGAAAGGATCGCCCGCGTCGCGGGCACAGGCGCGCATCGTGGCGCGATCTGGCGCTTGGGTGACCTAATGTCGCGCCCCTTGCCTTGGTTGACCACGTTCCTGCTGATTCGGCTGCGACGGACGCATCGACGATCTGGAACTTTATCTCGGCTATCGCGCACTGGCGATGGGCTTGCTTTGGCGATCTCTGTGGGGAGATTTGACCGCGTGAAGATGTCGCCCACCGTTGGCCTATGTCGTTTGTTTTGGCGGACTCGCTGAATTTCACTGACCTATCTTGGCGAGCATCATCTGCGCGCGCTCAGGCGCGAGCAAGATGTCCCTCCTGATCGCTGGCTCGAAGCGGTTCAAGGTGC